TCAAGAATCTCCGACCGGCACAGATGGGAGGAAAAGGAGGGTTGCAGACCTGGGTCAAGGTGGCGGGGATGATGACGTCCGGATAGGAACTGAGGAGAAAGTGTGCGGCGGTTTTGCGCTACGTGAAGCTTGCTTACTCACTGATGTGTATTGCAGCCACTTGCGCCCAGAGCAGTAGAATGGGCAAAAGGGGGTGGGCGAAAATGAAGCAGCTACGGTATTCCTAAGAGTACTTGGTATTGTTCTGTCTTTTATCGCCGTTTATAGAAATGGGGTACCTTGGGCGATCTCGCCGCGCCTTCCAAGGTGACGAATGTTGATGCATTTGCTCCCTTGGAAAGGCTCTCAAACTGAGAAAATGAAGCCAGACGCATTAAACATTGTTTTTTATGTAAGTTTGTTGCTTTTGAAAAATAGCTAGGCTCTCCTCCCTATATCTTTCCGTAACTCGATTTCTTGCATTTGATCTTTTATCCTCACCCTCTGCCATAGTCGGTATTACACGGTTTTTGTTTCTCCGGGTCGCGTTTCCCACTGTTTGCTATTTACTCCAACTACTGTATGACAAAGCGGAAGAAAGAGGGAAGTGGGGCGTGAACGAGGTTGCGTGGATGCTAGCGGAGGTCGGTGGAACGCTGCCGTCTGTGATGATGCCCGGCGGACAGAAGAGCGGGGTCACTCACCACGTAATAGGGTGAAGCGCCTCTCAAAAAACACATAGTAGTGCAGGTGCCGATCAGGTGTTGGCGTACGTCTCTATGCGTGCTCGCTTTTTTCCCGTTTCTTTTTTCTCTCTCTTTTTTGTGCTCCCTTTATGGCGATTTGTCTCGGTTGTGGCGTGCTTTTCATAAGCAGTATCATGCAGGTTAGATGTGGACTTGTAGAGGATTGCGTTGAAAAAGTTAATTCTACCTATATTAGGTGATACGCAATACTTTCGGGATTTCGAATGTAGTTTATATACAGTCGCAGGATAGTTTGTAAAAGAAGTTTCACAAGAATAGCTTTACGGTATTCGTTTTGAAGACGCCAGACTCACCATCTCCACGCCCCTCGCTATACAAGTTGTTGGCCCTCTCATTTACTTGCTTCACTGCTACTCTGCGCATCTCCCTCACTCCGCTGTGCCAACCCTCCGCTACTCCAACTCAAACCGCCAAATGCTGTCCAGAATGAGCGCCAGTAGGTGACAGACAGGAAGGCTTCCGTGAGCAGTCTGGATGATTTATGGGATGAAGAGCCAAGGTGCAGCTTGATCAGTGTCTGACATAGCTGGTCACCCCCTCACTAGGTGTCATTAGGCGTGTTTTCCAGTGTACGTCACGCGAACGCTCCGTCCCTCTCCGCCTCCTTATAGTAACCAGCCTCTCTCTCTCTCTCTCTCTCTCTCTCTCTCTCTCTCTCTCTCTCTCTCTCTCTCTCTCTATATATATATATATATATATATATATATATATATATATATATATATGTATATATATATATATATTTCTCTCTCTCTCATCTCTCTCTCCCTCTCTCTCCCTCTCCCTCTCTCTCCCTCTCCCTCCTCTCCTCCCTCTCTCTCCCTCTCCCTCCCTCTCTCTCTCTCTCTCTCTCTCTCTCTCTCTCTCTCTCTCTCTCTCTCTCTCTCTCTCTCTCTCTCTCTCTCTCTCATTCTCTCTCTCTCTCTCTCTCTCTCTCTCTCTCTCTCTCTCTCTCTCTCTCTCTCTCTCTCTCTCTCTCTCTCTCTCTCTCTCTCTCATTTCTCTCTGTCTCTCATTTCTCTCTCTCTCATTTCTCTCTCTCTCTCATTTCTCTCTCTCTCTCATTTCTCTCTCTCTCTCTCATTTCTCTCTGTCTCTCTCATTTCTCTCTGTCTCTCATTTCTCTCTCTCTCTCTCTCTCTCTCTCTCTCTCTCTCTCTCTCTCTCTCTCTCTCTCTCTCTCTCTCTCTCATTTCTCTCTCTCTCTCTCTCTCTCTCTCTCTCTCTCTCTCTCTCTCTCTCTCTCTCTCTCTCTCTCTCTCTCTCTCTCTCTCTCTCTCTCTCATTTCTCTCTCGCTCTTTGGGGTAGTGTGACACTGACATATGCTTACGGAGTGACGCAGTGAATGGCTTGAGAACTTGTCGCAGCCACAGTATGACTCACAGCGCTCACATACTCACCTCGTCACAATACAAACCAGTTGCAATAGCCAGCGGTATTAAATAGTTTTCTTACCAACCTCGCCTAAGTTGACAAATTCTTTTTTGGTTGTATGCGGTAATATAGGGCATGTAATGATGAATAGCGTGACTCCACAGCTATCTTGTGTGTTATATGTCGTATTGCAAACTAGATTACATCTATTTGTAATACTTTATTTATTTATTTAACGGGTAGCACAGAACACTGTAGAATCTTCTTGTAGACGAACGAACCGGCGAATGACTGCTTTCTAGACTTTTTATACATGGTGGGTGTTTTTTTTCTTCCTGTCTCCATCCGCTCTTCTATCTCGTCATTCACCTGTTTGCTCTGTGCTGTCGGGCGTTTGCGGCTATGCGCGTGTTGTCGCCGATTGCGTGTGTGTTAGCGTTGCCATTACGACTCCTATGATAATTTGAACCATGCCCCGCTTCCCGACACCCCTCCGCCTCGGGTCCGAGCATCCAGTGCCAGGTTGATTGCATGTTTTTTGTCCAGCCTGAGGGCGTGCGCGAACGGTTCATCTGCCCAGGGTGTTATTCCGACTACCGCAACTTCCCTTCCATCACCGACCCTTTCTCGCATTCTCATTCGCTCCGTCTTCCCCGCTGCCGTTTGTCACGGCCATTAACTGTGAACGGTACATCGTTTGCATGGGTGGATGGAAGTATACAGATGTTTTCGATATGCAGTTTAGGTGTGCGATCGTTTTTGAAAGCTGAAAAATAGACACACGATAATGAAAAAAAAAAAGAAAATACTTCATATTGTTTTTACTAATAAACAATGGACTATATTGTATCCTGTGAGACCAGCTACATCTGTTAAAGTGGAGGTATTTTTTTGGTCTACAATTATTGGATGTATAATCGGTTGCTTTTTGTTCTAAAAGTTCATGAAAAGTTCTGACAATACTTAATGGGTATGGTGTTTATGGGCCAAGGAATCTATTTGTTCAGCTTTTACTGGTGAGCCAGGGTAAGTGAGTAGATTTTGGGATTGATTAAGGCAGGTGATGGTAGATTTGGGATAGATTAAGGTAGGTAACAGTTTGGTTTTGGGTTAAATTATGGTAAGCTGTTGGTAGATTTGATTGTAGATTATAGGTAGTCGCACCATGTCTCAGTAAGAGAAGGAATTAATTAAAGAAACACAGTAGCATACTTACAAAGGTAAACAGGCTCAGTAAGAGTGGGAGCTGTTGAGATAAAGGAGGGTAGGTGTTTTAGTCTCTGCGGAGTGCATCCATATTGTAAAGAATGACCCCCATAGGATACAAAAAAAAATTCTTGTGAATTTTTAATCTTGCATAGTTAAAATATTTTAATCAGTACATTCCAGGATTTAGTTACCTGTTTGGTACAGAAAAGGAATTGCACATTGTTCTTATGTACTATGTTAGGGCAAGATGATAGGTCTTTTTCAGGTTAAGGGAAACCTTCCTCTTTGTTTTTACATTTTCCAGATTATAAGTTTCTATTTCCCTTTTAATCTTATGGGTTGCTGATTTAAAAACTCACCTTTTTAACCCCTTGCCGACAGGCATGGCATATACATCCATGCCATGCCCATTGTGAGTTTACTTATTTAATTGTTTTTACGCATAGATGGCTACACTTGTACTAAATCACCAATGAGCCAGTTGCGAGTACAGCCTGTGTCACCTGTTCACCCTTTTCATCGATTTACCAAAATATTTAACGTTATCTTATTTTGCTGTTACAAATGTTTATAACATTATAGTAATTATAATATTTATGATAAAAATAACACCATCAATATTTATAGCACTAGTAAAAATACATTTTTCACACCAATTCAAAGGAAGGTGAAATCCTTTATGGCTAAGCACTAGCAGAGCCATCTAGTAACAGACATTTCACAAAAATATTAAAGACGAGTACAAAATTTCCCCCATTTTTTATTCATTTTCCCCCGTCTCTCTCATGCAAAATAAGATTTTCCAAATAACTTTACTACTTGGAATATTTTGAAAGTTGTGATATACTTCGGAAGGTTAACCCTTTTGGCGACAGGTATGGCATGTACGTACATGCCATGCCCATTGTGAGTTTACTTGTTTAATTGTTTTTACACATAGATGGCTACACTTGTAATAAATCACCAATGAGCTAGTTACAAGTACGGCCTGAAAATATTTATCTTATTTTGCTGTTACAAATGTTTATAACATTATAGTAATTACAATGTTTATAATAAAAATAACACCATCTATATTTATAGCATTAGTAAAAATACGTTTTTCATGCCAATTCAAGGAAAGGTGAAATTCTTTATGGCTAAGCACTAGCAGAACCATCTAGTAACAGACATTTCACAAAAATATAAAAAATGAGCACAACATTTTCCCCATTTTCTTATTCATGTTCCCCAACAGCAATGGGTTAAACAAAGAGAATTAAAGTTTTTTATTGAACTTGTGTTTCATGCTTCAGGAACAATGTAAATTTTTGAGAGATACCAGCTTGGGATCTTGAATCCCATGTGAATGTATCTGGTAATATTGTGTGGGCATCCACCAGTTAAAATATAAACCACCACATCCAAGCCCACACTATTTAGATAAGCGTAGATACCACACATTAATGTTCATTAATTCTGAAAGATTATAGATATTTTTTATCAAAACTAGGTATGCCTGTTTTTGATGCATAGTACATTTACTTTGCAACTGGTTAAATGGTGATCAGCTTGAAAAGCCTAATCTATGTAAAGTTCAGTGTTAATAATGAACAATATACTTGATATGATATGACTTGTATATGAAACCAGACCATCATGAAACCTTTATCTGCATGCCCCTTTGAACCATGGCCCTCGTCTGGGAGTATTTGCTAATATATCCCAAGTTAAGTGGCTGGAGGGAGTTCTGTGGGATTGGGGGTTAGCTTAAGGGATGTGAGCTGTACAGCACATGATAGATACTATATTTCAAAAAATGTTGACTTGGGACTATGTCCTGGTGGTTCCTGATTTGTGTTGAAGTATACATATGAATATGCATTTTTGGCAGGCACTCACTAGTTGATATACAGAAGCCAATAGGTATTTGCAGCAAATTCCTTTTTTTTTTTCTTCTTCTTCTTTTCTTTGTGTGTGTGTACTAATTTAACAATCATTATACATAGTAGAATAAGTTGTATTGCAATGAAATCTATATTTCCTTTCAGAGAGCCACGTAGAGTGACCCTCAACAAGGGTTCATCAGGGCTTGGCTTCAACATTGTTGGTGGTGAGGATGGGGAAGGTATCTTCATTTCCTT